CTACAGTCGAAATCGACGCAAAGATGTGCGATAGCCTCAAGTGCAATTCATATGGTAAACCATCAACTGCAAGAGACTTCCCCCTGCCGACCTCTTCAATCCAAGCAAACTTTGTCTTCCGTAATTTCCCCCTCGCAGGTAACCGTTTGAGTTGGCGAAAGCCGAGGAAAGTCAGCCAAATTGCTGCGAAACTCATCGCCACTTAGACCAGGCTCCTTGTTAAAACGACTCTCAAAATGCTGCAGAAAGCCTTGCACATGTCATCAGTCGATCTCAGAGTACGCCCCCTACGGGTTTTTAACTTCACGAATATAACGATCGGAACCTCGACGGATCTCTTCCTTGCGCAGTTGTTCGCCCATGTTCACGGATTCGTTAGACATCTTGTTTAACCTATGTCTAACTACCTGACCCTGGTAGCGCTTCACAGCCTGTCTAATTAAATCTATTTCTAGGGAGTCAGCCTCCCAGCCTCAGCCCGGGACAGACTATCTTTAAGTGTCTTCACCTTTTTTAGCCTTATCTAGTGCGAGCTGCTGTGTATAATCGGTGGTGAACGACTTAATCCGATCCTTAAGACTCTCCCACCACGTATTCCCAAAAACCGCCCCCACTAGTTCCTACTGAACTGGTTTAATTAGCTGTTGTTGGAAGTTTCGCCTGTCCAGTAAAGCCTGAAATTCCAGTGTCCAGCCATTCTAAGCCTAGCATCTTACTCTATCCAGGCACAGATGAGTCTATGATCCGAATATCCTAACCAGTGGACTGTGGGACAATCTATTAAATCTATATCGGCCCTTCTCACATTCTAACTATTCGTGAGTGAGTAATTACGCACTAAAAGCCCAGTATGTCTATTATATATTATTTACTTCTAGGCGATATCACTCTTCAGGTTTAACTAGAAAATTGATTTTCAAAAGTATATTTCATTAATTAACTCTCTTTTACAATTGTTCGTTCGAGGATTGTTTTGATTTTCATGTAAAAAAATATTTCTATTTAGGTATATCGTCTTATATAGTGCAGAAAAATCTTTAAAATTTGGATTTTTTCTTGGCCTTCAACAAGTTGGCATCTATTTGTAAAACTTTCCTTAACTATAATAAGTCTATGAATGAAATGTTCATTTAAAATTTTTATTTCAAGTGTTAAATATATCTTATTTTCCGAAGCGATAGCGAGCGGGTGAAGATAGATTCTTGTCCATCTTACATACAGTGAAAGTCCGCTCCCCTCCAAAATCCTGATTCATAATTCGAGCTTATAACTGGATTTGATCACTGAACTCTGGTTTAGGTCGGATATAAGTAACTTTTTCAATCAATATCCATATAGAGAGAAAAGCGGACGTTCTATTCTAAACACGTTTTATTTTTAGGTGTAACTTGAAATCACACCATTTTCTAGTTTTCTTTAAATGTATTTATATGTACTCTAAAACTCGTTTTATTTCAAGATGATAAGCTTTCTTACAGGCTGTTATTTGCATCTACTGTATTAGTTTTGGAATTATTTACAGACGGTTCCTCGTTCATTTCCATTTTGGGAATCCATCTATTATTTTCCAAAATTTTTCAATGTTTAACACGTTTGAATGTGTATGAACGATAACACTGGTCTTTCCAGGAGGAGACAACCACAATGTGATATTGGATAAGCTTCCATATATAATACTGAAAGTGTCACCTCTATATGCGTCGTTCCCATAGGTCAAAAGCGAAAAGGTTCAAGATTCAAGACTAATATTCAATTACACCTACTTCTGTAACTGATCACAATTTTACATGCTAAATATGGCTATTTAAGAATAAAATAAATATATTATAGTAAGAGTCAGTTACCCTCCATATGAGGGTAACTGACTTTTACATGAATGAACTCATCCTTGTCATGAATGGACTCATCCTTTCTTGATAGGTAGTCCTGGGTTATTGTCTAGGAGGAAGAAAGTAATACCAGTACAGTGATTTGTTTAGCTGATACTACTTTGCATAGTACTATGACGCCAGACTGTCGAGTTAAGTGTTGTTTTGTCAGAACCCACATCAGAAAATATATAAATATAATATTTTTATGGAATTTCTGGATAATAATATAGTCTTGTTTTCCAATATATCATATTCTTCAGAACATGGGAGATCGCCTTTATCCACAACTTAATATTCTTTGTAGCTCTAAGATTTTTCCTTTTACCATCACTCTTGCTCATTGTTCTGCCATCAATTTACACAAGTCTGATCGGTAGATTACACACAGTATCCTTCCATCTTTATGTCCTTCAGACTGTCATGAAAGTCTCAGATTCTCCAACCACACTTTACTCATTATGCGCGGGAGGAATTTCAACTATTTGTTCCCTAATTCTTAATAGGAGCATCATTTTAATTACATTTTCCTTAGAAACTCGTAACCCGCATCTTCAGTTTATACCATTCCCAGAATTCTACAGAAAAAATATTTCTGATATTTTTGATGATATTTCAACACTCCTTTGCATCTTTGAAGATATTGTTCAGCATTTACTGCCATATAAGTGGGTCGATATTTATGTCAATTCAGCAGTAGTTTTTTGTCGTTTTTAAAGATATGTGCCTGTTTCATAATCCTTTTTTTCAGTGTTGGAAGACAACTATCGCTATCTCAATATGCCTTCGCCTTTCGCTAACGCGTTTCTGTTCCCCTATAAAATAATTCTGTGATATTCATATTTTCGTACTTGCTCGAATTAGAATCTATGAGCTGCTTCCCTTGCTGACAACCATATATTCTGCATTTTAACAATTGACATTATTCGTTTCATTTAGCTTTTCTTTACTATCTTCTGTAGGATTTCATGCACATTCCTTTCTGTCTCAGCTACCTATAATGTGTTATCTGCATAGCCTGTGTTGTTATGATTGTGTCTCCTAATATTATATACATGTATGACATCTTGATATATTCGTCGTCGTCATCCATCCGTCTCTGGGCGGGATATATGGAGAACTAGTTCTCCCCCTCGGACTTGCTAGAAGAATACAACGCAGAGGACAATACAATTTGGTACCAACCCGGCTTCAGGAGTTGCCGGAGGGTAGCACAAAGTGCCGTCCAAACGCCTTCCGTGCTCCACTCCATGTTTGAATTCTTTCTACATCGGCCAATTGCCATCCAAGTCTATAGAACCCAGTCTGTCCTGCAATTTACCCATAGCTGGAGGGAGAAGACGGAGATTCACACCTTTCCCAAGGGTATTAGCACGTAAGTGAATGTTATGGATTCGACTGGAATTCGAAATCGTCTCTTCGATTCCTCAATCGAAGCCGCTATCCTTTACACCACCGTACCTCCTTGATATATTAGTATCGTATAAATAGAGTGGTTTAATCTTTCTGTTGAGAAGTTACATTCTCGTTTTACAGCCCTAATTTATTTGAGGCTTGAAGTGGATTTTTTTTTTCAGTTTTGTTTTTATTAGTTAAATTAATTATTTTTGTCTCATTAATTTTTTGGGCAAATGCTTTCACAAGGTTAAATAAGTATAATGCAAGTTGCTCGTTTTTAAGTACAGCCGCTTTTTTTTTTTTTTTTGCTGTGACTGTTTAATCCTCGTACCAGATTTGAGAATCACTGATAATTAAAGAAAGCTTTAACTATGCCGGACAGAAGTTATTTACAATTTCTGAAAGAGAACGAATGTTTTTGAACTCTTAAATCATCACTCAAAGCAATGGAGAATCAAGTTTTCAGGCCAAATTTCCTGCTCACTTCCTCTGGAAATTTCCTGGTTAAATTTTCAACTCTTCTCTATGATGATTTGCTTCAGTTCATTTTATTTTCATTTGCCTACTATGCGTAATTTTTTCCATCTCATCTTTTCCTGAACCACCAATGGTTTACAAAAACAATTTGCTTCGTCATATAATGTTATCCATGTTATTCTTCATAATGCCTACATTTAGCAGAACCTTTCAGAAACGTCACACGAAACCTTGTGTTAATTTGCTACTTAAACTTTCTGACAGTGATTATTTCTCCCAAATCATGCCATGATGACAGGCAACATCCTCTACTCGTCAGCAACGAAAGATTTATCTGGTCTGAGCCTCAAGTTTGCGGAAGTTCGAATAGGTCTCGTCTTGCTTGGGAACAAATATTTACCTAATTTCACTAGCGAGGCACTGCGGTCATTCCGGAAATTGAATTGCCAAACCTGCACCGATTTTTTCCAGGGTCTATAGAGTAAGACAGTTTTCTGAAGACCAACATTCGAAATCTTTATTTAGACCTCGATTGGATACTTTTTTTCAGATACCAAACGTGACCGACATATAATGAATAGATGTTCTTTTGTGGTTCTTGATTTCTTTATAATTATAGAGTCTAGCAATTGTTGCGCCTTGCTTTTAGATGAATAAATTTGCTTGACTGCGTTTATTTTGTCTACATGTATATTGCCCGCTCTTTGTTCTATTTTGAGAAGTAAACCAAAGTGAAATGCTATGATTACACTGAGGATATGAGATGCCACAGAATCCCGTCTGCTACTCTTGGTTATCTCGTCCATTTTGATTTCATTCTCTCTTCTTTTTAAAGTAATACGGCTGCTCAGCTATTCCTGATGAGAATGTGTGATTGAATATCGATCTGTTGAAACCCTCCATCAATGCTTAAATGTTAAAGGCTGACAGTAAGTGTTGGATCTGATAAGGAATAGATTCAAACAAAAAGTTAGACCAATAAGTATGTAATGCAAGATTGAAAGAGTTAAGCAAGTACGAAGAAGGAATTAAATAAAAGCAAGTTACTGGACAAGATAGATAAGAATTAAAACTAAGAATTAAGAGAGGCTGAAGAATAAAAGACGAAGGAAACACGAGGGAAAGAAGAAAGTGGAGAAGGAAAATAAAGAAGTTATAGTAGGAAAAAGAAATCATGGAAGAAGAATAAGAGATAAAGATTAAATGAAATATAATAAGGACGAAGAAAGAAAGGTTAAAGGATAATAGAAATAAATATTAAAGAAAGGAAGGAAAGAAGGAAGGCAGGAAGAAAGGAAGGAAGAAAAGAAAGAAGGAAGGAAGGAGGGAAAGAAGAAAGGGAGGAAGAAAGGAAGGAAGAAAGGAAGGATGACAAGAAAGGATGGAAGAAAGGAATGAAGAAAGGAAAGAAGGAAGGAAGAAAGGAAGGACGAAAGGAAGTAAAAACGGAAGGAAGGAGGGAAAGAAGAAAGGGAGGAAGAAAGGAAGAAAGAAAGGAAGGATGACAGGAAGGATGGAAGAAAGGAAGGAAGAAAGGAAAGAAGGAAGGAACAATTGAAGGAAGAAAGGAAGGAAGGAAGAATGGAAGGAAGGAAATAAGGAAGGAAGACAGGAAGGAAGGACGGAAGAAAGGAAGGAAGGACGGAAGAAAGGAAGGAAGAATGGAAGGAAGGAAAGCGGGAAAGAAGAAAGGGAGAAAGAAAGGAAGAAAGAAAGGAAGGGTGGCAGGAAGGATGGAAGGAAGAAAAAAAAAAGAAGGAAGGAAGAAATGAAGTAAGAAAAGAAGGATGACAGGAAGGATGGAAGAAAGAAAGGAAGACAGGAAGGAAGGACGGAAGAAAGGAAGGAAGAAAGGAAAGAAGGAAGGAATGAAGGAAAGAACACTTGTAAATTAAGTAGGAAAAAGAATTTAAAATATTGTAGGAATTGTAAGGTTCGAAAAAGAATGATAGATGTGACACCACGCATATCTGACGAGCTGAGAGAAATATTCATAGATATATGATTTGTTTTTTACGGTTTATCAACCATTTAATAATTATTTAAGGCCGACAAATATTTTGGATTTTAATTCTTTCTTTACATTCAAGCGATCTGGAAGAAAGAAAGAGAAAACGAAGAAGAAAGAAAGAAAAAATAATACGAAAACAGGTCATAGGCGATCACACACACGCACGGCTGACAGATAACAGGTGTCGAAAAATATTCAGGTCAAGCATCTGACCGATTTCCGCGGATCCGCGAAAAATGGAAGTTTGTTATCAATTGGTTGTCACCCAAGGGAAAAGAAAGAAAGGAGGAAAAGGGGAAACGAAGTTTAGGGACACTGAAAATATTGATAAGTAACAAGTGGGAAGTGTAATGATAGTAAAGGTCTAAGTGGGTGGGGAAGTGTATCTAAGGGTATGAAGACAAACCATTAATACGAAAACACAGACAGTCTCCAGAATTAGAACAAGCCCACACAAGGCGTTGTCGCTGGCCAAATTTTTTTTGAGATAATAAAGATTTTTATTATCAGACCTTCGAGCGGAGGGAAAATTGAAATATTTTTATTCCGTCTCAGAAACGCCAAGGAGTCTAAGAAATTCCTTTCTTAGATCATATCCAATTAGCGATAAACTTCTTGACAAATACCACGTGTTAAAAATCCGAGAGTGTCACCTCAGTCGCTCATGATAAGGGCGATTTAGATTAATATTTTTGTTTTTTAAGCAAGGTATTTCTTTCCCAAAACAAAGCCACGAACTGTCCACGCCCGACTAAAGACGTCATTGGCTAAATAAGATCACATGACACACGAAGGAGGAGGAAAGATACCCGACCAGGACCTCATTGGCCGAGAGCGATCACGTGCCGCACGAGGAGAATCGGTCGACGCCCTGTCAGAAGTGTAAGTGTGGAGAAGACGATACGAAGAAGCGGGGAAGCGGGTACACGCCCTCAGAGGCACAGTAAGGGAGTGAGAGTGAGTTACCGAAAATGGAAAAGAAATGAAAATCCCTAACCAGAAATAAGAAGGGTGAATACGTATTTAGAATTATCGAAGAACCCCTGGCGCCGACAGACCCACCCCAGTTTTGACGGCGTCAATAAAAGCGAAGCCCCAACTGACAGAAATCAGTTCAGCCGGGGACGGCGAAAGAGTTCAGCCGTGGACGACAAGCAGAGATGAGCGCCCAGTGTTGAGACCGCGTCAAGATAGCTGACCAAGATTCACGCACACTTCTGGACTCTTCTTCAACCAAGAACAAGTAGTTTGAAGAGCGACTTAGAATCAAGACCACAGAAATAACTTTTTTTTCGACTTTCGTCCAAAGACACACCGAAACACAAATTTCTTAGAGAGCAGAAAAATTGAAGCCTTAAAGTTGCCTAGTAAAAGCGTCGTGACACAATCCACAGAACGGGTCGGGAAGTAGACATAGTCCTATGTACCGAGCAAATAGACATAAAAAGTTTGTTACCTTTTTCTTTGATACGTTGGACCTTGTGAGTTTTTATTTTATTTTCTTTTATACATAATTGTGTTTTATCACCCCCGTTGAACTCAACTTGCATTACGGCCCCAACCCCTGTTTGATCTCGCCTGTCTAAGATCAATTCACAACGTGGGTAGGCAGAATGGAGATCAGTGCAGTTACCCTGGTAACCAGGCGTTGGAAGCGGGTTGGGAGCGGCGAGACTTGTATCAATCTAACCAAAGGGTTAGAACGTCACGTTTGGAGCAGCGAGGAGCGAACAGCTGACCTCGCGGCGAAGACGTCACAGTTGGTGCTGTCCGTGACCAGGATATCAGAGCCTGGGGAGCACGTGACGTCACAATTGGCGCCGCGACCGGGATCGAACGACACAGTCGACGCTGCGACCGGGGGACGACGTCACACAGAAGAAAAAAAAGATGACAAGGAAGCCAGAAAAAAAAAGAAAGAAAAGAAAAGAAAAGAAAAAAAGACATAACAAATGGAATGAAATAGGGAAGGAATGAGCGATTGAACTGGGAATAGCTGTAAGTAAAGGATGTTCCCTAAGTAAGGAAAACAACAAATGGTATATCGGAGAAAGAAAAAACTTAGTCCAATCGAAGGAATATTAAACGGGATAACAGAAAGAAGAGAGGATAAAATTAAAAATAATGCGGAAATAATGTGAAATGTTGAAAAACTGAAAGAATGAAAAATGACGGATAAATGAAGGAAATAAGTCATAATACTGAACACGAATATTTACACTATTTACATTATTCACATTATTCCTCGAGGACAAAGGGCCCAGTGGATAATGACGTTGGTTAGATCCAGTGACTAGACCCAAAGAGTAGTGAGTTCAATACCAGGTCACAACAGTTGTGAACCAACCATGGAAATTTGAGTGAAATGGAAATAGCTAAGGTATGTCACGTGAAACTAGAACAATCTACCCCCGTGGACGAAATAAATGGTTCGGTTCGAAATTCCAATAACCTGAAGAAGGCCGGAGCGTACAAGGATCGTAACGTTGTGAATCAGGTAATGAAGATAAGGATAACACTCCAAATAATGTAAATAATCTAAGTAATAATAATATCTTATCTCAGAGATATAAACAGATAATGAATACGAAATATTAAATTCATATTTTTGGATATTCCCAGATTAATCCTCCTATCTAATCTGTACAGTTGTTTTATTCCTTAGGCTTGGTTTTGTATTTCTCTGTTACTAATGATTTGTTTCTTCGTTAATTACTATTTACCTAGTCGAAAAAAAAGTAGGACCGGAATCCAAAAGTACATCGTAATATCGAAATATGCCTTCTGCTTTTATGTGCCTTGTTCTTTCACAACGTGGGCGATCATGGCTCTCCCCTTTCTCTTATCCTTTGTAGCCCTCAACATGATTTGTCGTTTTGTTACTTCTCCCAAACCCTGTTCTGTCATCCACTCACTTAAGCCAGGTACGTATGTCAAGCATTGCTTTCATTTGTTTCTCTTTCTCTCTTTTCGCCCTGTCAGTATCAGATTCTCCAAACCATCCTTTTTAATTACGTGTCCCAGAAATTTCAGCTGATTCTTCCTGATTTTAATTATAAGCTTCCTTATTGTTTGCATTCTCTCCAAAACCTCATTTTTTCTCACATGTTCGGTCCATGATATCTTTAGCATTCTTCTGTAGAACCGTACTTCCATTGCCTCGAATCTCTTCTTCATATTTGAGAAAACCGTTCAACATTCTCTGCCGTAAAGGAGAAAAGATATCTTACATAATCTAAACTATGTATTCATAGATATCATTAAACTAAAGAGTCTTAAAATGCTACATCTTATCGATGTTCTTATATGGAAGCGAATGTCGGACAATTTCTCAAAAGTGTTGATTATAATGAAAGCAACAATGTTAAGAAGTATCGCTCAGAAAAATATGGACGTCTTGTATGCGTAACGAAGTAGTACTTTATTTTTTCGGAAAATGTAAACGAATAGAACATGTATAATTACAATAAGAAAAAAAATTTGGCAAGACGGACTTAGAATATTTAACTTCTTGTATGTGTCGAATACATTCAGGAAATAGTCGATCATGTCTCTACACATCTTATCGGTGACTCTTCGCAGTTTTTCTCCCTTTGCTTGCGACCCACCTCCAGTTTCACCATTAATCCATTTCTGCTGCCATCAATATAATCCGTGGGTGTTAACTTTTCCAACCCCTCCTTTCATATTAGGTCTCCGAGGAATATCGGCTATCTTTTCCTGATTTTGAATTTTAAGGGTTCTTTCTGTTGCTATATCCTTTCAGACTTCCTAGTTACTTACTCACTGTGTATATTGAATTCTCATAATCGTTCTGTAGAACGACATTTTTGCTGCTTCTAATTTGAATCTAATCCTTACCAGCATTGATCACCATTCACTGTCATATCAGAGGATAGACACCATATAGAATCCCAGCACTCTTTTCTTTGTTTATAACACCATTTGTTTTCGTTTCTCAGTACATTGCTTAGCTTTTGGAATATTTTTTCGCTAGTCAAGTGCATATTGGGATCTTGGTGTCGCATTCTCCATCCTCTGTTAAAATTTTTCCTAGGTATTTGAACGTTATCATATGCTTGATCTTGATATCTCCATTTCGTAACTCGCATCTTGAGCTCCTTGTCTTGTTGATGACATCTTCTTTTTCTTTTCTCGCTTTGTTCTACCAATTTGTCTTGGAGGTCCAGCATTTTTATTTCCGAATCGGCCATCAACATACTGTCATCAGCGTATCTTATATTGTTAAGATTACAAAAGATAATAATATAATACATGGTATATTGAAAAGAAAGTGGAAAGAAAGACACAGCGATTTAACTGCATAAATGAGCAAGGCACATGGTAATTATAGTTCATAAATACAATGACGATGTATATTATTACCCAAAATAATGTTCCATGTTTTATTGAGAAGGAAAGCGTTCTGTGAGATGTTCTTTTTTTTATGTTTTTCTTTGACATTCACAGAACATGTTGGGTGCAAGATAATTTGTTTGTCTTTGATGTTTGTTTTATTTTGTTTCATATATTAAAAGCTGTTACTATTTTTAGTGTTGCCGGATTTGCCTTTGTTTTGTTTAATTTTAACAATGATTTATAGAAATTGGCGATTACGCCTTTCAAGTTGCATGGATTTTCGACTTAGAATAAGAGGCGTTTCAACTACAATAAGCGTCTTCATCAGACTCAGCTGGTATTATAATAAAAACATCTGAAATGCGCCCTGTTATAGTATAAAATGTTTTAAGCTGAAAAAGCGGATTTGTCCTGCAAAATAAACATGTCGGATTCTAATTATAATGGTAAATAGTGTCTTGTCTTCGTGGTCTGGTTAGAAGCAATATTTATGTGAATGGACTTGATAAGAAATCCAGACATCTCTTATATAGGGGAACAGATCTATATTTCACAAATTGCTAATACTTTCCTCACCATGTCTTCATAATTTTTTATC